AGACGAGGCGGTTGATAACAGCCCTGAAAGACAGGGCGGTTCGTTCAATGGCCCAATAACAGCCCAGTTTTGGGATGCCGAGATGGGATGCTGTCTTGGGTAATCTAAATCACTCGAAAGCAATGCGAAAGCGCTCTAGAATGCGGCTTTTTTCGGGCCCAAAGCCAGTCAGCGGCGTTTGAATGCTGTGTCGATGTCCTTCCTGAGATGCCCCGCTGGAGTATCACATAATGCAGCACTTTGGACCCCGAAAGTATAATGCAGTCAAGGGTCTTCGTGAGCCGTTTGCAAGCAGCTCGAAGCCGTAGGCGCCCCATTTTCATCATCCAGGGCCCAAACTTGTGACGAGCTCGAGGAGCTTTCAGAGCAACCCCTGCTCGTGTGGCTAGCTGGAAAACTAGCAATATATTATTAAGATTATTATAGATTGTACGAATCCAAGGCCCGAACTTTTCACCCATCCCATCGAGTCTTCTTCTGCAAAACAATGCATGTAGCGAATATTGAGTCCTCAGCCCATGTGGCCATACCCGATAGAGACACGACAATTGAGCGGTAGCAAGGAACATCATGCAGCCTGGAGTCTCCAGGCTTTCATTTGTCGCAGCAGATGCATCATCATCTCAGTACGACTGTAAGTCACAAGATCTCGCAGAAACCTTGAGCTCGACAAGCAAACGCTCATATGTTGCAGCCCAGGGTACATGGTGTTTGGGTTTGAGAACCCATGCGAGGATGCCCATCCTGCTTGCAATAAAGATATATGCAGATTTAGACTGGCGATGAATCAGAAAGACCCGGCCTATGAGACAAGGTTGTCAACATAAGATGATAATCCAAGAATGTCTTGCCAGTTGTGAAGATCTCTGCAGACTCATCGGCAGTCCTGAATTTCAGGGTGTAGTGCATGATGTATACATGTCTTCGTGCGTTGTGCGGCCATGCACCTGGATGCTGCCGGAGCTCAGATACCGCCCAGATCTCTCGAGGAGGCCAAAGAAGCGGGCATAGGAAGTCCTTGATATGACACCCGGGCTGGCTTTGGGCTTAAGATTCGATTCAGGGGTATTAGGCATATTGGGCTAGAAGCTCGGTATCGGCTCCTATTCTAGGGAATTCGATTCGGGGGTATTAGGCATATGGGGCTACAAGCTCGGTATCGGCTCCTATTCTAGGGATATTGCTCTCGAAGTTTCATTGCCACGGCCAGGAGGGGCAAACGGGGGTCTTGCAGCCGACCTTCCTGCACCACCTCTCTTGTTACATCCGAGAGCCACTCGAGTATCACTCTTCCATTGTATGCCTTGGCGGTCATATAATGGCCGTGTTGTTTCTTGATAATCAAGCCGACATTGAAGCGCTTCTGAGAACACGGGATTCGGTGTCTCAATCTCCATTCTTTGAATCTTGAAAATGCCACGTCCAGGAGCTGCTGCGTTTCCAGTATAGCAGGATCACCGAAATATCCCAGGGATACCAGGGCCATCCTAGGCTAGCTTCAGTGCAGGGGTATATGAGAAGTACAGGTCGCGACTTCAGTTTCTAAGGGCTTCAGGTTTTGGGATTTCGGCGTGCTTGTACAAGCGGCAAACACCCTCCGTTGGCGGTATAGACCAGCCCCAGGTTGCAGCAGTGCATTGAGCAGATCTTGATCATCGATATATCGAAACCGTGAAGACGGAGGAGTGGACCTTAGATTGGAGGAGTTGAAATGCTTTGGGGTATCAGGGCATTTGCTTCAGGGTGATCAGACATTAGGGTGGCCGAGGCTATTAGGGATTTGTTGTGAGATGATTCATCATGATACGGAGCCATAACCTCGAGGGTGGTCGGGGCTAGGTTTTTTTGGGATTATAACACAAAGACCATATCCTGAAATCGAACCAGAGGCACTGATGGTTCCCGGTTTCAACTTATGCAGTATGAAACCGACAGTATTCACCTCGGTTGCAGCCCAGTTTGGCGGCTGCTGTGCGTCGCCTGTGTCGTAATACTTCATTGCAGAATCATCCGAGCAAGCATCACACATGTAGCACAATTTCTTACTCACAGGAGTGGGCAGCAGGCGTAACACCTTTTCCAACCATTTCCAGTCCCCCTTAATTTCGCTGCAGCAGAAGCGACGTCCTGCGGCCAGCGGCGTGCCGGCCACTTTCTGCTTCGAGGCAGTAAGCGGTCCACCATCGTATCGGGTGAAGGGGTATGTTCCTTCCAAGGCAATGTTCGCAGACCAAGTGATATGCTCCAGGATTGGATGTAGGGTTCTCAAGCCATCCTCGATAACGAGGTCTTGCTGTATCGCAGCTAGCAGAAACTGCCCTTGGCGAACGGATCTGGGGCGAAAGAGAGGCATTCTCATAAACAGAGCCACCACCTTATCATGAGGGTCTTGGCTCAAGCAGCATTCGTCGCCATACAAGCTGAAGGGTATTTCTGATTTGCAGCCTGGGAAGCCCTTAGCCCAAGGCATGTCAACCCGATCCAAGTGTTCATGATAGGCCTGCACCATCTCAGCCGGCACTTGCACCTTCACTTCATTATAAAGGTATGCCAACACTTCGTGAACGTCCAGAATTGGGATCTCCATTGAAACTTCAGTTTCGAGACCACTGCTGCCCAAAGTCTTCACAGGTACTGTGATCATTGTAGGCTCCTTAGGCTATATATATATATATAAACTTATATTTTACAAGTTCTACATCATTTGCGATATAACAGCTGAAGCCCTAAAGAATCCCGCCATATGCCTGGAAGTACAAGCTCCTATAAGCAGGTTTAGCCGGCCATTGAAGAATCAAGCCCCCCAAGAAAACCCTTAATTGCAATCCGAGTAGCCAGAGGAAGAGCAAGCTTCTTGAAAAAGTTTCGTGCATAATTGCCAGGCTTGAATTTCATCAAATCATTGACAGCCTTGCCCCTGAACTTCCCACCAGCATCCTCCAGGTATGCATCATGATCATGAGATAGCATCGCATGCAATTGGAACTGTTTCCTAGCTTGCATGCATGGAGTCCTTGAATGCAGCTCTTGCACCATCCATAGCAGCAGTCACCGAGCTAGCCTGGGATGGCACAAGCTGGAGCAATGTCATGATCGAAGAATTTGGACAAGCCTCTATATATAGCCGCCAAGCATCACCATCGGATATTTTTCCATCATATTTTGCAACAGGCCATCTGCGGCATCATCGCTGGAATCTGGCATGCGACTTGGCGACGACAGTGACCACTAGGAAGTTGCAGGACATGCTTGGATTAGACGCATGGACACTGCGATGCAAGACAGATTCTGGCTTTTCCGGGCGGATGCGTACGATCCAGATCTGCCATCGTACCCTAAGGCAAATTTCCACGTGTGATGAGTATCACACTGTCAAGTTCGAACAGCCTCGTTAGAGGTGGCCCCAAAACATTGAAGCTTTGAGGTTCAAGATTGCGGACCTGGCTCCAATCATGCCTCGTGTGTATGTGGATAGGACCCCTAGGCCTAGGATCTAGCAGCTATGGCAACTGTATGCGCTAGAAGCCGTCGAAGCCAGATCCTCAGTCCCGGAGCAACAGCACCGAAACCTTGAGCTACTTCTGGCCCTTGGAGCCCTTCTTGGAACCCACTTTTTTCAATAACTCCTTGCTCGCAACATCACACCTCTCGCAAGCAGTCAGAACATCCTTCGTGAGGGCCGGAATGTTCTCGGTGTCCTACAAATTACACTCTCATGGCATGTAGGCTTGGTGGTCCAAGTCTCCGTTCGACTAAGGCCTCGTGGTCCATGCTGTGCTGCAAGCTGTTGCGAAGCACCTGCAGCTTGCCGACCTGGAAGTGGGGCTTTGGCTTAATTCTGGCGGGGGGGTAGCGGGGGGCAATTCAGGGGTTTAGGGTTTTGTAGGCCGGGGAACATAAAAGAAAGCATTCTGCCTCTAGCACCATGGGGTCTTGCGCTTTCAGGGCTTGGGACGTATTGGCTGATAGAGTGGTCCTAGGATAAAAGCCAGCACCAGCCATTTCAGCATTTGCATCAGCAGTCGCAGTACAGCAATCTAGAGCACCAGCATAGCATGTAGCAGTACAGCAGTATAGTGGTAGTATGTAGTATATACGTAGCACTAGTCGTAGTCGTAGTAGTAGAACTACTAGTAGCACTAGTGCTAGTAGCAGCAGTAGTAGTAGTCGTCGTCGTCGTAGTAGTAGTAGTAGTATAGTCGTAGTATAGTAGTATAGTAGTATAGTAGTATAGTAGTAGTAGTAGTAGTAGTAGTAGTAGTAGTATAGTAGTAGTAGTAGTAGTAGTAGTAGTAGTAGTAGTCTAGTAGTAGTAG